TAAAATTTCTACTGGCGATCTGTACGGAAAATTAACTGCAACAAATGTCACTATCGAGGGTCTGAAAGCGCTGCGTTTTAAAGCGGTGAGACTGTATTTTAGCGATGATGCCTTCCGATTGGAGATTGATGTTCGTATACCAAAAATTTATGCTGAAGATATTTACAAATGGAATGACATTCTGGCCGGATTCCGACTTAACGGAAAAATATGAAAATAAATCTTACATAATTAAATTAAATTTACATGTTGGCAATCATTTTGCCAGATATATTCCCTTTTTAAAAGGAAAAATGATCATTCATATAAATTGTATTTTACATTTGTGTATTTTACGCAATTGTGATAATTATGTCAACATATTCCAACATATATTAAAATTTAATTTCGATATAGAGGAGTATTCCATAAATATTATTTTACTATAACCTTATTATAAATAATTTAATTTATAATAAATTATAACTTATAATAAATAATTCTCATCTTTTTTTCGAGCATGTGCTATTTTCGTTTATTATTGATCTTACCATTGGACGATATCGTACATACGCCATCTTATATTGTATTTATATTATTGTTATACGATATCGTACATATATAAACTTATATTTATAGTATTGTTATAATTTATACGGAGCAGGGTACTTTAACATAACACTAGGAGGTATAAGAGAATCGTGGGATATATCAAGGTCTGTAAAAGATGATATATTAATTATAAAATATTTTCGCATAACTTTAACATTCAAAAACCTCAAGCTGTACATACATAATTTCGACAATCCAGTAATTGGTAAGTAATCAATCAACTATATCTCCAGCTTTTTAATAATTCTTTTAACACGTGATCAAAATATATAAAAATTCAAAAATTATTTCTAAAATAATACTTTTATCAACTGTTTCTCTTTCGAATATTTTTATTAGTTTACATTGTGACTTTATGTTTGACTTTATGTGACGATATTTTGTTTTTTCTCTTCCTAAATATATCATGACACAGAAAGTTCCATTTTCAGATGAACTCGTTCGACTTCCACCATTTTTGGCCGTTTTTACAACCGGCCCATACAGCCTGTAGCAGATACTTTCGTTAACGCTGTGTTCACGTCAGAGGTCGACAAATAATTCATATGTTTGTGTTCTTTGTTACTTTGCGACAGATTACTAAGCGTTTGTTCGCATTTTGTTTTGTTCTGTCTAGCACGGCTATGTTTATGAAGTAATATGTTCTTTTGTTTCATTTTTTCGCATTCAATAAAATTTGGAGAGTTATTCTCAGCGCTGAACATCTACTAGTTATCATCGAGAACGGGACAGTACAGTATAATTGTCCGATCAAACGAGCTCGCCGAAGGCAAACGAAGTTCGATCGAAATTATATGATGCGTCTCGTTCGAAGGTGATATCCACCCCCTTTTTAGTTCTTTCCTGTGTTGGTCATGGCTAATACTGCGTTTATTCTAATTGTCTTCTCCCAACCCTAGGGAGGAACAATCTCTCGAAAACTACACTGCTTTAAAAATATGAGAAGGTAACAGAACGCCGGCAGAGAGGGAGCTGGCGTAGAGAGCGCCTATACAGGGAAAGTGAAGCGTGAAAGTAGCGAATTTTGAACTCTAAACGTTATGAAGTTCAGCACGACAGAGCGTACTACTAGTTATCACCTTCGAACGAGACGCATCGTATAATTTCGATCGAACTACGCTCGCCTTCGGCGAGCTCGTTTGATCGGACAATTATTCAATTACGAAGAAGCACTTGTAATTCTGTGTAACCAATACGACGTAAAAATGTCAGTGTTCTGTTGGTAAAGTTTTCAGCTTCAGTATCCCCTTAAGGGGATATCTAAAGATTTCTACACATATATAGTTAGGTTTTCCATTGAATATGGTAAAACAAAGCAGCACACATTCATATAAGTTCTGTATATATAATAAATACGATAAGGATAGCGTGTATGTTTATGTTAGTGACGATCGTCTCTGCATTATCGACATTGTTCGAGTTCGTGATCGACTCTAGCATTCCCTTAAGGAGGAGTAATCGATAAAGCGCGCTTATATGTGAGCACAACTATATAGAAATATAAGGAGAATAAAATAAGTTGTTTTCGCAAATAATAATATGTTTCTGATGTTGAAAACAAAATGTCATCGTCCTTTTCTCTTTATTTTAAACGTAATAGTAAAGTATTATTACAACACGGAAAGATGTCAAAAGGAACTTACGTAGATCGAGTTTGTTCGGGAAGTATAGTCCAAACGCTATGACCGTGAGTATACTAAAACTACGAAATATCATGTCAGCTAAACTGACGTCAAATAGTCTACTCACATATGCGTAGCCTTATATAACCTACATCATCTTGGTCAACTTGAACATGCAATGTAATTCTCGTGTTATTCCTACGCGCCGCTATAATTGCATTTCGTTGAACAATGTTTTGTTGACTCTAAAGAATGAAATACTAAATACCAATCGGCTTGCTATTGTTCAGTATGTTGATATAATGGTAAAACTATCCATATAGTGATACTTTTTCACTCAGTTTTACTATATCGAAGGCGATTTGATAAAGGAGATAAAAAATTTATCGACAATAGACTAATTAACGATAGCTAAATTCCGTTCTAAAAGTACATTTTATTCTCCTCACGTGCATTGAAAAATTCCTGGGAAATAGTAAACCTTGATATGTGTATGTTGGAGTCACACGATATAGCTTACATTTTATAAAAAATTGAAGATGCGCGTTGTCATCAAAACGCAACAATTTTCTTTCACAGACAACCTCGTCACGATGTTCGTCAATGAGTGTTGATCGCAACTATGTGTAGTGGCACTGCTAATTATGAAGAAATTTTGGGACACATATTTCAGCGACTTTCTTACGCGCTTTTTCGCAAATTTTTTTCTTTCTTGAAAAAATATATAACATAAAACGTTGCAAGCAAATGATTTCACATGCGAAATTAAGGACACATTTAGTGTTGTATACATAAGATTTGCATTGTATATTGAAAGGGAGCATTATAAATATAAGCGATAATTTATAGGCATTTTTTATATTATGTGTACATTTTTCTATATCATTCAAACGTCGTTACATGTTGCTTTAAAAAAAAAGAAAGAAAATCTACAGCAAAAGTTTGTGAGAAACTGAGTTATAAACAAGTATTTGCAATTCTTCATTTCAAGCAGTTTGAGAATTATCTAACCTAGACAAAATAGTATTCCATGCACTGAGTACATTACTTTTTCGAAAAGCTTGGTTTATTCTGTTTTTATTTCCATATAGCTATGCTCATCTATAAGTGCGATTCAAACGTCTACAACTTTAAAACGTGCGATTAAAGAAGCATGACCGTTTTTTGTAAAAGATATCCCTCAAAATAAATCTTATCGCTTTTATAGCAGCTCTTTTCAAGCAATGTAAACTCTCTACTGCACATGTGACTGCACATGCAATTCTGTAAATTTCCGCTCATTAGAATTAAATTTTACATATGCTGATTGAAAAGTTTAAGATTTTTTTATTATATCAATAATTTCTCGAGATCAACATACATGCTAACATTATTTATCGATTTATTCTAATAGATTTTTCTGTTGAATATATACGAATTTTTGTAATTATTCAATTACGAAGATGCAAAAGATAACACCGGCGATTTACACAGAGAAATAATCTCCTTAAATCTCACTGTCGAGCAGTCAAATATAACTTGATGGTGACACGTTTTGTAACTACAAAAGCGCAGTAATGACACTTTCTGTAATGACATCTTCCGATTTTAGAGATTGGCATGTACAAAAATTTTTATTACAGTGATTGCGCGACGCATGATAATATGACCAAATAAGCGCGATGAAAATATAAAAACAAATTCTGTATAATCAAGTAGGAAAACAATAGAAGCAAGTAAAACTTAATAAGGTAAAAGTACCGAATGACGCCACTAACCCAAATAGCGCTACTATAACTTGTTTTGTGCGCGTATTAAAACACAGCTGATTAAAAGTGTCAAAGAATTCCCAGAAAGTAATCGTGAAAGTATATCAAATGGTTTCGTCAAAGTAAGTGTATAAAAATATAACGTTATTTTCCGTAAAAGGCAGTTTCAAATTATTCTTATATCGAGAATCCGTCACTTTTGCCTATCTACGACTTTATTCTAAAATATCTACTACGATAATATAACCTATAGAATGATAAAATGAGATATTTTTGGATTGTAATACAAAATGTTTTAGTTTTGTATGATTAATATAAATTGAACTAAATTAAAAGACAATAAAATAATAAAATATTATACAATTATATTTTTATATAATATAATAGAGATGGCGGATTTATGTGCACGTAAAAAGCATCATGTACACAAAACCGCCATAAATATGCAATAACATTTTAAAACAAATTAGTAGAAGTTAAGATGCTTATTATTTTAAATAAATAAATATTTTAATAGATAACAGGTGTAAAAATTTCATTTCCTTTACTATAATTATCTATATTAAAACAGATCAGGTAAGGTGACGTCATTTGGGACATTCAACAATTTCAGTGGATATAATTCGGAGTGAATGTAATTTGCAGTTCACACTTAAATCTTGTGTACATATAAATAATTTTGTTTATTTTCAACTTTTATATGTTTTTTTGCTAATTTACAATATTAACATTAAGTAAAATTTATAGTCTTACTTAGTATTACTTTATTCTTTTTTAAATAACCTCTTAAAAAATAGTCTTTACTTAGGGTGGTGTAATCCAATAAGTTTACCTTATCAAATCCGATAAACATTAATTAAATTTAGACGTTAGTAATACTTTTGTCGGACATATTTCTGTTTTATTAAGAAATAACACTTAACATTTTTTTGTTGCATTTTTATGATACACTTGATGTAATAACACACGAGATTACTCAGAGGTTGTCAGATGTTATATAAAGCCAAGCTATACATACTAATCAACCCATTCGCTGTTTTATTCACTGGACAAGATGGTATTCCGCGCATTTAGTGTACTCAGTATCATAATGTTTGGATTGTGTGCGACGGAAAAACTCAATCTTCGTAAGTTCTCTTTAACAATTTTCTGTGCTTTAATCTCTTAGCTACGGCAGGACTTCCCGCGAAGCTGTATCTCTGTACGGCAAAGTTCAACGCGGACTACGCGAAAACAATTATATTTTATTAGAAATAAGAATTATAATTTATTAGAAATAGGAATGAGTCACTATAGTGACATACCGTTCAGAAAGATGATATACGCGAAAGTCACTGTAGTAGCGTATAGTACCTAAGAGGTTAATAATAGTTTTCCATAACGTTAAGAGACAAAGAAGGAACGACAAATTCTTATATTAAAACTCAGAATCTCATTATATATATTTTTACTCGAAAGCAACTTATTTTATTCCGTTTTATTTTCCCGCAGCTGTGCCTACCTGCAAACGCAATTCAAGTCATTATAACTCCTGCTTAAAACGCGCTATTAATGAAGCATGGCCACTTTTTGTAAAAGGTATTCTTTAAAGTAGATCTTATCGTTTTAATAACAGTTTTCTTCGAGTTTTCCTTGTATTTTATGCTACATATTTAATGGCATATGCGGTTATTAAAACTACATATGCGATTATCATTTAATGTGACAATTTTGTGCAAATTTTTACGAATTGATTAAAATTTATCTAAACTCATCGGAAAGTTAAAATATTTTCTGATATATTTCCAAGATCAATACATACAATTACTATTTATAATGTAACAATATTTCGTACAAATTGTCATGAATACCCGAGTCGACAAATTTTTATCTAGATCAATCAGAAAGTTTAAAGTTCCCTGATCATACCAGTAATTAAATTCTTGAGATCAACGCACAAACCGATATTAATCTATATATTCTGACAGGTCTTCCTGCTGAATTCGATCTTCAACCTCTGGATCCATATTTTTATGAATACCTAAAGGCTGTAGCTAATAACAGTAATCTATACGGAGAAATAACTACATCAAATACCACTATTGAGGGTCTGAAAATGATACGTTTTATAGCGGTGAGATCGCATTTTAGCGATGATGCCTTCCGTTTGAAGATTGATGCTCGTATACCAAAAATTTATGCTGAAGGTATTTACGACGCGTTTGGCACTATAGCCGAATTCCGATTTAACGGGAAAGGTACGAAAATAAACCATACATAATTTAATTAAATTTACATGTTGGCAATTATTTTGTATGTCGAGTATATTCCATTTTTAAAAGGAGAAATGATTATTCGTATAAATTGTATTTTAAATTTACGCAATTTTGATAATTATGTCAACATATTTCAACATATATTAAAATTTAATTTCGATATAGAGGAGTATTCTATAAATACTATTTTACTATAACCTCATTACTTATAATAAATAATTCTCATCTTTTTTTCGAGCGTGTGCTATTTTCGTTTATTACTGATCTTACCATTGGAAGATATCGTACATACGCAATCTTATATTTACATTATTGTTATACGATATCGTACATATATAAACTTATATTTATATTATTGTTATAATTTATACGGAGCAGGGTACTTTAACGTAACAATAGGAGATATTGGAGGATCGTGGGATATATTAGGGTCCGTAAAAGATGATACATTAATTATAAAACATTTTCGCATAACTTTAACACTCAAAAACCTCAAGCTGTACATACATAATTTCGACAATCCAGTAATCGGTAAGTAATCAATCAACTATATCTCCAGCTTTTTAATAATTCTTTTAACACGTGATCAAAATATATAAAAATTCAAAAATTATTTCTAAAATAATACTTTTATCAACTGTTTCTCTTTCGAATATTTTTATTAGTTTACATTGCGACTTTATGTATATTTTGTTTTTTCTCTTTCTAAATATATCATGACACAAAAAGTTCCATTTTCAGATGAACTCGTTATGATGTTCGTGAATGGAAACTGGCCGGTACTATATCGAATAGTAATGCCATTAGCAATTGATTATTGGGATACGTATTTTAGCAACTTACTTAACCGCTTCTTCGCGAAACTTTCCTTCTCGCAAGTATTTCCATAAAATTCGGATGTTCAATTAAATATGACTGTAACGTATCATTACGTAATACATTTTATATTTCATATATGATTCAAGTAGCGCTAGATGTCGTGCATTGTCCGCACGCTCTAGGATGAGTTCGATTCGTCGACTCGTTCGGTAATATTCAATTAGTGATTCGTCGACTCGTTCGGTATATTCAACTTTAACCGAACTTCGTTCGTTCGTTCGTTGTATCTAGCGCGGAAGAACACTCGGTAGCAAATTTGTAGCGATCAAACGGCCATCTTGTAAGCTATCGTACGAGAGTTGTTGTTAAAAAATGCAATAAAGTGCTAGTCTTATACAACAAGATATCTGTCGATTCAAAAACCACGTCTCTGCATACACATCCAACTAAGAGAGACACAAGTTTCTCGACTACGCCGATCACTGCGTGGAAAGGTAGCACTCAGTTACACAAGTCAAAACAATGACGAAGCAGCAACTCACACACGAGATAGAAGAGATATTCAGTGCCGCAAAAATAAAAACTACGAAAATTTAAAGAATTTATCTTTAATTTATATCGCATAAAACCGATAAGTCTTAATCACTTTGCTTTGCTGCATATAACTGTCTATTGTAATGGTTTATCACGTTAGATGTGTCATCAAACTCATTAAAAAAAAAAAAAAAGAAGAGAGTTTCAATATGATTATACGAACCAAGTAAATAACACCAATTTTAATAGTAACATATATATGACGGAACATGTAAACAAGTCTGATATTCGCGTGTCATTTATATTTACCTCATACACAAAATAAGAATGTGAAAAAATAAATTTCTTACTCGGTGTAAGAGCTCCGTAAAGAAACGTAAATACATAAAATTACAAAAAAAGTCTCATTCAATTTTTTTTTTTTATGAAAATGGCAAACATATTCGTAGATGATGTTTAATTTCATAATTCTACTTCCAATTCCAGTATATAATATCTATGTCTTAGCTGAGTATAAGCCTACATTCTTTCCACAGTTTTATTACAATACATAAGATTTGTTCGTGTTGCATATACTTTTTACACTTTTAAACTCAATGCTCGTTGCACACTAGGTACACCCCAAACAACACAAATTCTCAAAAAAACGTTCTGAGGATGCTTTTAGGACAAAGGGACATTACCAGAATATTTTTAGAATGCCCTTTGAAGGTGTAAGCCTTCAAAGGGCCTTTGAAAATGACAACTATCCAATAAGTTTATTCGTATTGATTGGACTTTTTACACTTTCGCATTTAGTACACATTAATTCTTTTAAGTTTCTAAAAATGACGTCATGATTTCTGTTTGAGGGTTACACAAGTATAAATGCAATTCTGATACACTTTTTACTTTTTGGTCTCAAGCAAGAGTGAAAAGTGTAAGCTTTGTTAATGGTAGTAAAAAAGAGTTAGCTCAAAGTATCACGAAAATTATATAACAACTAAATAATACCAAATGTAAAAAATGTTATTAAAATTTTATTTATATTCATGACACTGACAAAAATTGTGGCATAATTTCCAGAACGAATTAATGCACTAATTATAAGTGTGAAAGTGTAAAAAGTTTAATAAACGCGGATAAACTTATTGGATATTAACTATTTCCAAACAACTCACTTCTTCAAAGGACGTTCTAAAAATATTCTAATAATGTCTCTCCGTCCAAAAAATGTCCTTAAAACATTCTTTGGAGAATTTGTGTTGTTTGGATTGGACCAAGTGTGCAACGGGCATTAAGTGTAAAAACTGTATGCAACACAAACAAACCTATAAATTTTACATAAAAATGTATATGTAAATTACACGTGTAGACAGCATGAGTCAGTTGTTTAAGATATGATGTAAATATAGTGATATCCTTGATCTTTGCGCACACTTCAAATGCTAATCAGTAGAATAAAAACGATATAAAAATCTTAATCATTTAGTTGCAGCACACTTTAATTAAAACTGGAATTATTATACATAAATAATTACTTATTTCTTGATTATCATCGAAACTTTGCCTTTTATAATATATATTTTATAAAAAGCGGCCAAGTATCTTGAATCGTACGTCTTAAGCAGGAGGAGTAATCGATAAAGCGCGCTTATATGTGGACACAAATGTGTAGAAATAAAAGCAGAATAAAATAAGTTGTTTTCGAATAAAAATAATATATTTCTGATGTTAAAAATAAAATGTTATCGTCCCTTCCTTTACTTTTAATGTAATAGTAAAGTATTATTAAAACACGGAAACTTACGTCAAAAGGAACTTACGTAGATCGAGTTTGTCCGGGAAGTATAATCCAAACGCCATGACCGTGAGTATACTAAAACTGCGAAACACCATCTTGTCAGCTCAACTGACGTCAAATAGTCTACTCATATAGGCTACATATGCGTAGTCTTATATAACCTACATCATCTTGATCAACTTGAACATGTTATATATTTTTCGTATCATCCAATCCTATGCGTCGCTATAATTTTATTTTGTTGAACGTTTTGTTGAACATTTTGTTGAACGTTTTATTGGACGTTTTGTTGACTCTAAAGAATGAAACACCAAATATCAATCAGCTTGCTATTGTTCAGTATGTTGATATAACGGTAAAACTATCCAAACAGCAATACTTTTCACCCAGCTATACTATATCGGAAGTGCTTTGATAAAGAAGACAAAAAATTAATCGACGATAGACTAATTATTGCTGAATTCCATTCGAAAAGTACATTCTATTCTCTTCACATATATTAAAAAATTACTGGGAAATAGTAAACCTTGATACGTGCACGTTGGAATCACACGATATAGCTTATACTTTATAAAAAATTGAAGCCGCGCGTGTCAACTCATGACGTAGTAATTTTCATTCACAGATAACCTCATCACGATGTTCGAGAATGAATATTGATCACAATTATATCTAGTGGCACTGCTAATTATAAAGAAATTTTGGGAAACATATTTTAGCGACTTTCTCACTCGCTTTTTTAAAACTTTCTTTTTCTTGAAAATATATATAATATAAAACAGAAACGTCACAGGCAAATGATTTTACGTGCGAAACCAAGGATACATTTAGTGTTGTATACATAAGATACATTGTATATTTTGAAGGGAGCATTGTATATATAAGCGATAATTTATACTCATTTTTTATAATACACCATTCGACAAAAATCAAATTTTTTATTTTCCCATGAGAAATTCATAGAGATTCTAAAAATAAATATGAAACAAATATACCCGTGTTTCAGCGTTTCACTAGATCAAATCATTTTCGTTTGTTAAGGCCGACTTGTTATTTTAAAACAATTATAAAGATGTCACCAGCGATTTACACAGAAAATTAATTTTCTCAAATCTCACTTTTACAGAGGCAAATTTGAGAGCTCCATGTTTTGTGACTATGGGAGAGCACTTCCGTAATGACACTTTCCGTTTAGAAATTAGCATGTACAAAATTTTACAGTGATTGCACGGTGCATGATAATATGACCAAATAAGCGACGAAAATATACAAATAAATTCTGTATAAAAGTAAAAAAATAATAGAAGTAAATGCTAATATCAAATCCGATAAAGATAAACTAAATTTAAATGTTAATAGTTGTTTAATCGGACATATTTCTGTTTTTGCAAAGAAATAGCAATTAACACTTTTTGCTTCATGTTTCATATGCATGAATATTATATCATACAGGTTACTCGATGATTGTCAGACGTTATATAAAGCCAAGGTATACATACTAATCAAGTCATTCGCAGTTTTCTTCGCTAGACAAGATGGTATTCCGCGCACTTACCGTACTCAGTGTCATAATCTTTGGATTGTGTGTGACGGAAAAACTCGATCTTTGTAAGATCTCTGTAACAATTTTCTGTGCTTTAATAATATCTTTCCATAGCGTTAAGATAAAAAAGAAACGATAAATTCTTATTTTCAAAATCACAGTCTCATTATATACATTTTTACTCGTAAGCGACTTATTTTATCTTGTTTTTATTTCCACGCAGCTGTGCCTACCTGCAAACGCGATTCAAGTCACTATAACTCCTGCTTAAAACGCGCTATTAATGAAGCATGGCCACTTTTTGTAAAAGGTATTTTTTTAAATGTATCTTATAGTTTTAATAGTAATTTTCTTCAACATATTTTCGTTGCACATTTATTCTACATATTCAATGGCATGTGCAGTTATTAAAACTATGCATGCAATTTTCGTTTCATGTTACAATTTTATACATATTTTTGATAATTATACGAATCGATTAAGTTTTATCTAAATTCATCGAAAAGTTCAAATATTTTCTGATCGAATCAGTTACTGTAGTCTCGAAACCAATATTAAACAAAATATTCTGACAGGTCTTCCTGCGGAATTCGAATTTCCACCTATGGACCCATTCTTTTACAAGGATGCAAGAGGTGTAATTGATAGTGGTGAAATACACGCAGAAATAATCATGTCAAATATCACTATTGAGGGTTTAAAAGATTTACGTGTTGTGGCTGTGAGCCCGCATTTTAGTAATGACTCCTTCCGTTTGATAGTTAACGCCTACATACCAAAAATATTTGTTGATGGTATTTGTAAAGCCAAAGGTACTCTAGGCGGATTCAGAATGGGCGGTGAAGGTATGAAAATAAATTCTACACAATTAAATTCAAATTTAGTCGTAAGCAGTTGTTTTGCCTAGTACACGAGTATATCGTTGTTTGCAGCGAAAGAAAATTATTCGTATAAATTGTGGCAATTGTGATGCCTCGCATTTCAATGTATACCAAAATATAATTACAATATAGCATTATTCTAGGAACACAATTTTATTCTAATTTAATTTACTAATATATAATCGTAGTTTCATTAATTATTTTATGAATACTACTCTTTTATCGTTGATCTTATCATTGAAAGTTATATTATACAATGTTATATTTATATCCTTGTTATAATTTGTACGATAGGATACTTTAATATGTCTGCGAGAGATGTCGCAGGATCGTGGGATATATTTGGTCCCATAAATGATGACACGTGGATTATAGAACATGTTCTTATATATCCGATGATTAAAGATTTTAAGATATACTTACATAATATGTTTGAAGGCAGTCGAGAAATAAGTAAGCAATAATTTAAATAAATAACCGCTTATAACTTTTTAATAACTTTTAATAACGCAACAGAACAATGACTTCAACGAAAGTGTTTATGAAATAGATTTCTATTGGTTGTTTCTTTTTGGCGTATTCTTCCTCAGCCGTTTACATTGTAATTTTATGTATCATGTATTTCTTTCTTTCGGAATATGTCATAATATAGATATTTTTATTTGTAGATGAACTCGCTATGATGTTTGTCAATGAAAACTGGCCGTTGCTAATGCGTATAACGATGCCGATAGCGAGAAAAAATTGGGACACGTTTTTCAGTGATCTCCTTAATCACTTGTTCGCAAAGCTATCTTTCTCAAAATTATTCCCATAGAGTTCGAATGTTTAATTGAATCGTTAAATTTAATATGATATTAATATTTTAGCTAAATATAGGCCTACATTTTTCGACAGTTTTATTATAACATATAAATTCTGGATATACATTCTGTCAAATAAATACCGGGAATTGTTCAGTAAAACATAAAATATTGGTTTAACCATCTAAATTTATTTTGTCACCTTCAAAATAGGCCCCATTTGTTGCGACACTTATGCTAACGAATAATCCAGTTGTTGAAACATTTCTTATAAGCACTTTCCGGTATGGACTGCAGCTCCTTCTGCGAATTTTGTTTTATGGCTTCAATGGACTCAAAACATCTTACACGAAGTGGTAATTTGTGTTTGGGGAACAGGAAAAAGTCACACGCGGCTGTATCTGGCAAATATGGTGCTTGGTCGATGACATTCGTTGAGTTTTTGGCAAAAAATTCGCGTACAAGGATTGATGTGTGAGACAGCGCATTATCGTGGTGTAAAATCAAAAAGTTGCTTTCCCACAAATCTGGACTTTTCCGGCGAACACTCTCTTTCAAACGCCCAGATAATATTGTTTGTTGACTATCTGCCCCTTCGGATGGAACAACACCACGATAGCCAAAGAAAACAGTCAATATATCTTTGATTTTCGAGCGACTTTGACGTGATATTTTCGGCCTTCTTTGAATACTTTGTACGCTCGTGTTTTCAATAAAGCTGACTCACCGTAGGCCTTCTCCAACATTTTAACGATTCAGCACGAAAAATTTCGTTGGCAACACAAAATTTGAAGCAAACCCTTTGTTCGATATTTTTATCCATTTTAAAAATCGCAGAAGTCGACTAACAAAACCAACAGTTGTAAACAAAGTAGTTGACAGATGGTGCCAAAACTCTACGTGACAATTAGGTACTTTGGTATCAACTTACAGCAAAAAATTAATTTTCATACTTTTTACGCGTACTTTTGAAATAAACAATTCCCGGTATTTATTTGACAGAATGTAAATCAGATGTTTAAGATCTGATATAATTATAAGTGATATCCTTGATCTTGGCGCACACTTCAAGTGCTAATCAGTAGTATAAAAACGATATAAACATCTTAACCATTTAGCTGCAGCACACTTCAGTTAAAACTGGAATAATTTTATGTGAATAATTACTCATTTCTCAATTACCTTCGAATCTTTACCTTTTATAAAAAGATATGTCTTTTATAAAAAGCGGCGAAGCTTCTTGAATTGCGCGTCTTAAGCAGGAGGAATAATCGATAAAGCGCGCTTATATGTGAGCACAATTGTGTAGAAATAAAAGCAGAATAACATAAGTTGTTTTCGAATAAAAATAATGTTTCTGATGTTGAAAATAAAATCGTCCCTTCCTTTATTTTAAATGTTGTAATAATAAAGTATTATTAAAACACAAAAAGCTGTTAAAAGGAACTTACGTAGATCGAGTTTGTCCGGGAAGTATAATCCAAACGCCATGACCGTGAGTATACTAAAACTGCGAAACACTTTTTCAGCTCAACTGACGTCAAATAGTCTACTCACATAGCCTGCGTAGCCTTATATAACTTACATCATCTTGATCAACTTGAACATGTTATGTAATTCTCGTATCATCCATTTCTATGCGCCCCTATAATTGTATTTTGTTGAACGTTTTGTTGACTCTAAAGAATGAAACACCAAATATCAATTGACTTGCTATTGTTCAGTATGTTGATATAACGGCAAAACTATCCACACAGCTATACTTTTTCACCTAGCTTTACTATATCGGAAGCGCTTTGATAAAGAAGACAAAAAATTAATTGAGAATAGACTAATTATTGCTAAATTCCATTCGAAAAGTACATTTTATTCACTTCACATACATTAAAAAATTATTAGGAAATAGTAAACCTTGATATATGCATGTTGGAATTACACGATACAGTTTACACTTTATAAAAAGCTGAAAACGTGCGTGTCATCTCATGACGTAGCAATTTTCTTTCACAGATAACCCCATCACAATATGGTGGTTCGTGAATGAATATTGATCGTAATTATATCTAGTGGCACTGCTAATTACAAAGAAATTTTGGGAAACATATTTTGGCAACTTTCTCACTCGCTTCTTTCAAACTTTCTCTTTCTTGAAAATATATATAATATAAAATAGAAACGTTGTAGGCAAATGATTTTACGTGCGAAACTAAGGACACATTTAGTATTGTATACATAAGATCTACATTGCATATTCTGAAGGAAGCATTGTATATATAAGCGATAATTTATATTCATTTTTTATATTACACCATTCGACAAAAATCGAATTTTTTATTTTCCCATGAGAAATTCATACAGATTCTAAAAATAAATATGAAACAAACATACCCGTGTTTCAGCGTTTTACCAGATCAAATCATTTTCGTTTGTTAAGGCCGACTTATTATTTTAAAACAATTATTATGTTTTAAGTATTATTATATCTTAAATCTTTATATTGTGTTTCGAGTCTTAAACAATCAATATGTTTCTGAATTATAACAAAGCAGAAGTATAATAAGAAAAAGCAAATATCTAAAAAAGTATTAGTTACTCCAGATACGTGTTGTTTCGGCTACCGAGCGCGTAACACGCGGATATTACTGGCCTATTGTTTGTGATACGGAATCATGCAAACGGCAAACCAAACGACCTAGATTCTTGACAAAATCCGTAAAAAAAATTGAAAATAAAAAATAATATTAAAAAATTCAAATCAGTTCTTTTACAAATTAAATATTAAATATTTAATTAAATATTTTACGGTTTTATACTATTTTTATCAACTTAATATTATCATATTCGCATCCAACGGAAAATTTACAAGGAAAAAAATTAATTATTTAAATAAAAAAGTTAACATATAATTTAGAACAGTTTTAAAAGCCAGTATAAGACAAATACAATAAATGGCTGCATAAAAAACGTTAACGACTTGATCTTGTAAAATGCTGAGATACAGGTATACTTTCTTTACATTTATTATTAGAATCTCTTTGAATTTTTCATGAGAGAAAACCTGTGTTGTACGGTGTTATGTGTACATTTCTACATCATTCGAAACGTCGCTATATGCTGTTTTAAAAAAAAAGGAAATAATATCTACAACAAAAAGTTTGTGAGAAACTCAGTTATAAACAAGTGTTTGCAATTCTTTATTTCAAGCAGTTTAATAATTACCTAACTTAGCCTAAATGGTATTCCATGCACTGAGAGCATTTCTTTTTTCGAAAAGCTTGGTTTATTTTGTTTTTAGTTCCAGCTATGTTCACCTATAAATGCAATTCAAACGTCTACAACTTCTGTTTCAAACGTGTAATTAAAGAAGCATGACTACTTTTTGTAAAAGGTATTCTTCGAAGTAGATTTTATCATTTTTATAGCTGTTTTTTTCAAGTAATTATACTCCACTGCACATATGACTCCACATAAAATTCTGTAAATTTCCGCTTATTAAAATTAAGTATTATCCAGGTCGATTGAAAAATTTAAGGTGTTCTGATCATATATTAATCATTAATTTTTCGAGACCCACATACATGCTAACATTATTTATCAAATTATTCTGATAAATCTTCTTGCTGAATATACAGGATGTCCTAAAACCATCGGAATTGCTCTTAATGGTAGGTTCCTTACAATATTTTAAGAAGAAAATTCTAATACAAAAATGTCGAGGCTATAATAGCTTTTAAACCGGAAACGATTACACTTAACGAATGGCAGGGCTGAGATTTCGCGCGCTCAGGTACGGAAAAATGACAAATGCAAAAAGTGCTCCTATTAATAGGGCGCTCTTTTTATAATATTATTGTTATATAAATTTGCAATATGTTTTCGCTTCTCTATGTATTGCATATTAATACATTTTTTCACAAATAAAAGATGTAAAAACTAAAGGCATATCAACAATAATTCAAGTAAAAATTTTTATATTTCAACTTGAATATATTTGGAATATATTTGGCCCCGTAAATAATGACACGTGGATTATAGAACATTTTCTTATATCTCCGACGATTAAAAGTTTCAAGATATACCTACATAATTTGTTTGAAGGCAATCGAGAAATAAGTAAGTAATAATTCAAATAAATAAATCCTTCTAACGTTTTAGTAATCTTTAATAACGCGCGAGAACAATGGCTTCAACATAAGTATTTATGAAGTAGATTTCTATTGGTTATTTCTTTTTCGCGTATTCTTCCTCAGTCGTTTACATCGTAATTTTATGTATGTATTTCTTTCTTTCGGAATATGTCATAATATAGATATTTTCATTTGCAGATGAACTCGCTATGATGTTTGTCAATGAAAACTGGCCGTTGCTAATGCGTATAATGATACCGATAGAGAGCAAAAATTGGGACACGTTTTACAGTGACCTCTTAAATCGCTTGTTCGCAAAGCTATCTTTCTCGAAGTTATTCCCATAGAGTTCGAATGTTTAATTGAATCGTTGAATTTAATATGGTATCAATGTCTTAGATAAATATAAGTCTGCATTTTTTCACAGTTTTATTGTAACATAAGTTCTGAATGTAAACATATATGAGAACTATACGTGTAGACAGCAGACGTGTAGATATAAATGAGATGTTTAAGGTGATACGTAATTATAGGTGATGTCCTTGATCGTTGGCGCACATTTCAAATGCTAATCAGTAGTATAGAAAGAGTATAAAAACTTTAACCTTTTAACTTCAAGGCACTTCAACTGAAATTGGAAAAAAATTATTATGTATGAATAATCATTTATTTCTCCATTAAACCATTGAACATCTACCTTTCATAAAAAGATATACCTTTTATAAAAAGTAGTTAAGCTTCTTGAATCGTGCAGGAGTTTAAGCAGGAGGAGTAAACAGTTATATCGCGCTTATTTGTGCGCACAACTGTGCTTATATGTGTGCACACTGTGAAATAGAAACAGAGTAAAATAGTTGTTTTCGAATAAAAATAATGTTTTTGATGTTGAAGATAAAATGGGTAAAAATGCAGAATAACGGACCATCCTCCGATTTTAATAATCTTTGGATATATTATACAGTTGACCATCCTGAATAATATTCAAGAGGTTTTAACCGTCGCTCGTTGTTCATTAAAAAGTTATTAACAAAGAAAGTGTAATGAATATAATATAATTTTCTGATACTGTAATTTCGTATTGTCATGTTGTTCGATAAGTGAAAGTTGTTTTGTTTACATCTCTTACCGGAATGAAATAAGTTACTGTTGATATTAGACATATGAAACGTACTTGTAAGGAATGATAAGCCAGTATACGACAGTCTTTCGTATAGTTACCGTTCGACTGCTGAAAAATACGGTCCTCAATACGGTCGTAAAGAGTATCATTTTAATCATTATTTAGCAGAATTTGTTTTCAAGAAAACATTTAATTTTGATGAACGATTAGATGCTTTCTTTGATGTAATGTCTATTATATACCCCATATCTGAAAATATAATTTAATTTACGCATTTTATTGCATTTATAAATTTAATTGCATTTATAAATTAATCTTAATTTAAATATTTTTTTAGTAAGTACTGCAATCTCGAACGACTAGCGGAGGGCTTCGCCCCCCGTACTCCCCTAAAAACTAATCTAACCTAACTTATCGTCAATCACATTAAGCGTCAATCACTGTTAAAAGGAACTTACGTAGACACCGAATTTGTCCGATAAAAGTATAATCCAATCGCCACGATGGCGAGTGTACTAAAAATGCGGAATACCATCTTGTTAGCTAAACTGACGGCAAATAGTTTATTCGCATTGACATGCACATACCAAAAACTTTTTGTTACTGTAATGACGCGGCGCATAATAATATGACCAAATAAACAACGAAAATATACAAATAAATTCTGTATAATCAAGTAGAAAAACAATAGAAGCAAGTAAAAGCTAATATCAAATCTAATATAAAAATTAAATTTAGATGTTAGCAGTTATTTTATCGAGTATATTTCTTCTTATAGAAATAACAACTAAAATTTCTTGTTTCATTTTCACCATTGATGTAATTATGTTTTATTTTCACCATTTGATGTGATCAAATATTTTATGTAATCTAATTATCATACGTGACTCAGAGGTTTTCAGATACTATATAAAGCCAAGCATACGTATTAATAAAGTCATTCGCAATTCTCTTCGCTGGACAAGATGGTACTCCACGCATTTATTGTACTCAGTATCGTAATGTTTGGATTGTGTGCGACGGAAAAACTCGATCTATGTAAGTTTTCTTTAATTTTTCGTATTTTAATAATAGTTTTCTATAGAGTTAAAAAATAAAGAAGAAACGGCAAGTTCTTATTTTCAAAATCAGAATCGTATTATATATATTTTTACTCGTAAGTGTAGGATGTAATCCAAACTAAGGTAACACGCGGCATCTTGACAATAACATCAATATAAGAAGACGAAAGAGAGTATGTTGGAGTCTGGGTAGCTCAGTGGTTTAGAGCAGTCGCCCGGCAATCGAAAGACCCGGGTTTGAGTCCCGGCCCAGCAAACTTCGGCTTCCGATATACTTTTCTCTCCGACTCTTACAGTTCAGAAGTGGGATTAGCGTACTCATCGTGTTTCCTCGTCAAAATTCGGGATTGATCGGTTTGGAGCTGCCATTTGAATTATTATTCGGATTTATGGGAATTTGAAGTTATTGGTGTTTAGTGTTGGTGTCGTTGAAAATATCGCGCAAGACCCAGGAGCGCCTCAGTTATGGTTTAGGTTTGTGACTTTAGATAGGAGGGCACTAGCCGGTAAGCGGATATTAGACACGTGTTAAGTTTGGATTGGTGTTTAGTGTTGCCAAAAAATATTGCGCAAGAGCCGGTGGTCGGTTTATGGGAGACATTTGCCGGTGAACGGATAATAGACACGTAAAGTTTAAAGTAGTGAAAAGCACATTTGGGACGAATGTGATGTCAGGCTGGCCGAACTATAGGATGTAAGCCAAACTGAGGTAACACGTGGCATCTTGACAATAATATCAATATAAGAAGACGAGAGTATATTGGAGCGGAAGCCTGGGTAGCTCAATGGTTTAGAGCAGTCGCCCGGCAAGCGAAAAATCTGGATTCGAACCCTGACCCAGCAAACTCCGACTTCCGATATACTTTTCTCTCCGACTCTTACATAAGCAACTTATTTTATTCTGTTTTTATTTCCACGCAGCTGTGTCTACTTGCAAACGCAATTCAAGTCATTACAATTCCTGCTTAAAACGCGCTATTAATGAAGCATGGCCACTTTTTGTAAAAGGTATTCTTCAAAATAGATCTTATCGTTTTAATAGCAATTTTTTTCGAAAAGTTTTCCTTATTATTCTACACATTCAATAGCATATACAGTAATTAAAATTACGCAGAAAATTATCATTTAATGTGACAATTTTTGTACAAATTTTTATGATTATACGAATCAATGAAATTTTATCTAGATTCATCGAAAAGTTCAAATATTTTCTGATCGAGCCAGTCATTGAAGTCATTGAAACTAATATTAGCCAATATATTTTGACAGGCCTTCCTGCGGAATTCGAATTTCCACCTTTGGACCCATTCTTTTACAATTATGAAAGAGTTGTAGTTGATAGTGGTGAAATACACGCAGAAGTAATCGTGTCAAATATCACTGTTGAGGGTTTAAAGGATTTACGTGTTGTGGCTGTGAAACCGCATTTCAGTAATGACTCCTTCCGTTTAGTGTTTAACACATACATACCAAAATTACTTGTTGAAGGTGTTATAAAAGCCAAAGGTGCTATAGGCGGATTCAGAATGGGCGGTGAAGGTATGAAAATAAATTCTACACAATTAAATTCAGCTTTAGTCGTAAGCAGTTGTTTTATCTGGTATATGTCGTTGTTTACAGTTAAAGAGAATTATTCGTATAAATTGTGATACCTCGCATTTCAATGCATACCAAAATATAATTACAATATAGAATTATTCTAGAAATACAATTTTATTCTAATTTAAATTACTAATATATAATCGTAGTTTCTCTAATTATTTTATGTTTGCTATTCTTTTATCATTAATCTTATCATTGAAAGTTATATTATACAATGTTATATTTATATCATTGTTATAATTTGTATGACAGGATACTTTAATATGTCTATCGAAGATACTAGAACACCGTGGAACATATTTGGCCCCGTAAAAAATGACACGTGGATTATAGAACATTTTCTTGTATCTCCGATGGTTAAAAATTTCAAGGTATATCTACATAATTTGTTTGAAGGCAACCAAGAAATAAGTAAGTAATAATTCAAATAAATAACTCCTTATAACTTTTTAGTAACTTTTAGCGACAGTACAATAGCTTCAACGAAAGTGTTTGATTTAATATAATTAATAACAAAGATTGATTTAAAGTACAAAAATAACATCGATCTTTCTTATGGATCGTTAAATTCCTTTTTTCCTATATATATATATATAATATTTCTTTTTCCTACTCTCATTTTTATAAAAAATAGTAACTGTACATAAACAGATGATTTGGAAAAAAAGCGGCAAATAGATTGTCCGCAAAATTTTATAATTTTAGACGTAGAATTTATTCGTTACGTTTTATTAAAATAATCATTAAATGTTTTATGTGTGCCCACTTAAGACGTGTCTTCCTATGTCTTTCTGTATTTAATATATGTCGACTCCTGAACTACTTTTAAGTTATTTATCTCTTCACCACTGATACGTATACAAAGTGACTGCTTTATTCAAGAAAAACGTGTATAATTATACCACGCATTGGTATGGCATAATTACATATATAATAATTGGTATGGCATATCATGTATGCTAACGACTAGTTCACGTATACGTATGTTATTTATACATTATTCATTTAGAATTTTAACTATTAACATTTAGAATTTTAACTATTGATACTGCAATTATAGTGCAGTATCTTGACTTAGTCAAAAGATTAATATCGCCTATTAGGATTGAAGATAGAAGTTATAAATTATTACCTACAGATACGCTCGCACGCGTCCATATATATTCTTAAATAATAAAGAAATAAACAAGTGAATGATATGAAAATAATTTTGTTGTAATATTATATATTAAATCTTTAAAGTGAGAGTAATTCTCCGACGTTTCGTGGATTTCTTTTTATTAGTTTTACTTAGCAGTTGAAAGAAATGCCGAATCTGAAATGAGACAGGCAATTTTTTTTAGTACATTTTGTATAATACCGAGTAAGAGATTTATTCTTTTAAGTTAATATTTCTTCCACATAAAGTTTAATTATGAATAAAGTGGAAAGAACTTTAACTATAATAAAGCCAATCTGTAAAGTAAAAAAATCGAATATTCTTCATGAAGTAAATTTCTATCGATAGTTTCTCTTTCGCGTATTCTCCCTCAGTCGTTTATATCGTAATTTTATGTATCGTTTTGTATTTCTTTCTTTCAGAATATGTCATAATACAGATATTTCCATTTGCAGATGAACTCGCTGTGACGTTCGTCAATGAATATTGGCCGTTGCTAATGCGTTTAACGATGCCGACAGCGATCGAAATGTGGGACAGGGCTCATAGTGCAGACCTTACTCGCTTATTCGCAAAGCTATCTTTCTCGAAATTATTTCCGTAAAGTTCGAACGTTTAATTAAATACTAAGAAATATTATGTTAGACTTAGAATTAAAAGATAATGTTCAATTTATATTATATACAACAAATAATTCTTGAGTACTTTGTATATCATGTATGCAATTCTTCATCACACGTCAATTTCATTTAAAAAAAACTACAAGATATTTTGAAAAATAAAATTAAAAGAATATATCTGTATTTCTCCATTCAAATAACTTTAGAATCTGAAGTTCTCACGAATCACGATTTGTGATTAAGTATTCATATTTGCGAAATCAGCGAATAGTTGTATCTTTCATTGGACGTTAATGATCGGACGAATGAAAATTTTACGATATTTTGAATATCGAAATTTATATTTATTTGATAGAGTTGGTAAGATATTTAAATATGTTACACAATATTTGCGTAAAAGGCGCAAAGTGCTTTGTTGTTAAAATATATAACAGAATTGTATAAACACATCGAATGTATCTATATAATTTATTTAATTTATAGATCGCATCTTTGCACACGTAATTCACAAATCCTTTTTTCACAATATTCGCACGTTCAATAGTAATAAAAATAACAGTACTGAACCTTGGCACGTTTCATTCGCTAAACCGTAACGTTAATTTTCTAAATGGCTTCTTTGACAATTCTTTTGGTTTCTCTTTGGAAGTCTTTGCTTTACAACCTCAGCAGCACATGGACTTCAATTACCTAAATTTGTTTTGCCAACTCTTTCCTTTAATTTCGCGAGATGGACTCACCTCGAAGATAAAGGATTAAGAATCTGTAACTATTAACCTGCGGAAAAGTGTCGAGTCCAATGTTCGTCGTGTCTACTTACGTTATTTTCGTTTCGAGTTCCATCCCGCATTATTTCCTTTTTCCTCGTAAAGATTAATTGATCGCAAACACTTGAGATCGCACTAGAACTTTGCTTGTTCAATTTGCGTTCAAAATTCAACGATATATACAAACGGGGATAGTCCTGCTATTTTCAACTGCGACAGGAAATCAAAATCTTTTTCGAATGTAGCTCCTCGTTCCGTACGCGGACATTTTTGTCGGCATGTGTATCTCTCGGCAGAAGTGAGCCCGCGGAAGAATGAGAACTGAGCATACGTAGAGAAGACGAAGCGAAGCACGGTAAGACCGAGAGAGAAATGAAGAGGCGCGGAATTTGTTGCGGACGGAAGTCAGAGCAGGAGGAGAAAGTTGAAATACGCGCCGAGAGCGCGAGAAGTTGTCAAACTTTTGCATCAGGGAATTCTTTCCGGGGCGCCCCCGGAATATCCGTAATAAAGTTATAAACTTTTAGGAAGGGCCAACGCCACCTTCGTTATATAACTGCTGCTCGCCCTTAGTTTCCTTTCGCGGAGCACAACGACCGAACTAAATTTCGTCCCGTTCGAGTACCGGTGACTGAATCTATGACCCGTTGCGCAACTTTCCGCGGCTCTCTCTCTTTCGCCCTGGTTTTTTTCTTTTTTTTTTTTTGGTTGTTTTTGTGCGAACTAGTGCGTGTCCAGTTAAATCACGCGATGAATTCGCCGGTACCGTGGTAAATAACCTACCAATTCGCGAAGCGATGTACGCACGCACGTATATAAGCGGAAGAGCGGCGCGATAATAGGGTAGGTCTGAATTAGCGTCACACGGCTTGTTTTTTAGCGCGCGGCAGTTTCACCGTTTTTATCCGACCGAATCCAATTGGGCGACATCCCTACTCGAACGGGTTATTTCAATCAACAAATTGAATTCTGTCCATACCGATTAGAACGAACTAGATGCAACGGTGATAAACAACGTATACTTTTACTAATTTTATATATATACATATACATACGCGTGTAAGTACGTATATGTTCTTCCGTAAAAATGGATAAACATATGATAATATCGATGAAAAAGGTAACGTTGAGTTATTTATAGGTCATTCATTCGATAGCAATTTATGTACATGTTCCCTCGATAGCGCATGTGTTTTGTAAAGTCTCTTTATTATATTTTAATTAAAGTGCCACAAGAGTACCGATGATACGTGATAATTAACTTAATAATCGTATCTCAAATTCAGATTTCGTGAGCGTAGCATTTGTAATACGATACATCGTGAAAATCACAACGGCGTACATAAAGTAGTCCATTTATTGGAGACAACTATTGTACTAAAATGCCTGCCGATTCCACGGTAAATACCGAGATTAACATTTCGCGACTAATGAAGACATTTCGTGTATAGCCGCTGAGGCAGATGTTCGATTCGCGTGCGCATGGTAATTACTTTTTTGAACGCAATTTGAGTACCTGGTAATTATTCAATTTCGCAACACGGCCCGAAAGTTGTACTCCTGAAAATCCACGCCATTTTATCGTTCCTATTTTACTAAATTACCACATCAGCGTGATTATGCTCATGTGACTTGTACGAAGGACACAACTAGCAACCATTTAAAATTTAAATAACATACCCCTGAAATGAAAGAGACAAAATTCTTCATATTCAAGCGCTGGCGGTGCTTTAGCGATTTTTAAAACGAGAAACATTTAAAGCTGCTCGTTTGAAGAGAAGTTATCTCAGATGCACATTCAAGAAAAAGTTTGAGGCAGGCACGCAAGAGATCACCGAGTTCTTTTTTAGATTTATAAAATCTACCTACGAGTAAGTGCGAGAGTGTGTGCGTGTATGATGCGCGCGCGTTTAGTGTGTTTGTGCGAGGATATAAATTTTCGGTTGGAAGTTAGCGCGTTATCGTAAACTTTTACGCGCAACCTCGTGACTTCGCGCTTTATAGGCCCGAAATGCTTGAAAAGAACGGCAGCTTTAGTAGAAATCACACAGAGCCTCCTGGCCATGTGCAGAAATCGGTATATGTACTATATACACGCACGAAGTTACAAATTTCCGCGCGAACGGCAACCCACCACCATCAATTTTCACGGGCGACTGAACGACTTCAAATTTTAAGGTTCTCCGAGTGACTTGTCGTCAGCAAAAATCAGCCCGACACGATTCCTCGGTCCAGAAGTGTACAGCTCCGCGAAATTACGAATCCTAGCTCGGATGCTAACTCATCGATTGCTTACTATCGATTAACGCACAGTATTGCAAGAGTTTAAAATTATATGACGAAAAAGCGACTCGGGACGGGGAATTTACAAATCTATCCAAATCTTTCGACGTATACCTACTCATATAATATATTTAAATAATATATTTAAGTGGAATAAATATTCATAAATATTCATTCTTATATTTCAACGAGATATAATTTGTTCTTAAAGAAACTCAAAAGGCACGACGTTACATTCGACAAGCGAAGCGCAGAGGTTGATAAAAGCTGACGCAAATCATAAAGTTCCGCCACGCAATTGAATAAATCACAAATGTAGGACTACCTATAGAAAGAAAGAAAGAGACAAAGAAACAGAGGCTCGCATTAATGCTACGCGTGACGAGATGCAATTAATCCGCGATAAGAGCGATTAATTTAAAGTGATTTTCTCTACACGGTAAGTGAATTACATTATGTCGGCGTGATCCATTACGTTGTCCGAAGTAAAATAAGAAGGTAAAAAAGAAATATGAAAAAGAACGAGAGAGAGAAAGAGAGGGGGGGGGGAAGGGAACAAAAAGAGAGAGTGAAGATTCCACATTTTCCTTCATTGAACACAACGAACCGAAATGCAGAGGTGTGCATGCGGGCGAGAACATCGATCGTGTGTCTTCGCCCGGCGAAGTCGGTAGACGCGTGAATCTCAATTTGCCGGCTGGTCCCCGCGGACACACGGACGCCTCCACGTGTTCGTCGACATTTACATAAGGCACGGACGAGGCGATACGCGGCTCCATCCGTAGCTATTCGATGGTTACCATCCACTATCCACTTTTCGAAGGATTAGCCCGATGGCACGGAACGATCGATATCCACGTGTGTATCTATCTGTGTTCACTAAGAGCGCTTAATCCTCAATCGCGGTGACATTACGTCTGACTAACGCGAGATACGTAATTTTTACTTGCCGAATTTACATAAATGAAAAATTTCATTAAATTATATATTGAACAAATTTTGACTCTCTTCTAGGTCCTGCAGAGCAGTTAAAGAGATATAGCAATGGACTTAATTAATTACGAAAATTCTCCATGATACGTGTCGGAAGGATCGCGCGGTCGCTGATAATCCTAGATGAAACTCTCAACAAAATACCTCGATCACAATTACCGTGAGAAATTTCAACTTGAGAAGAAGAGCACCCGCGAGGCTATACACGTTATACATGCAACCTTTCTCGATTCTCCGTTTCCACGTCGCCGAATAACATCAATTGCTTTCGCCCCGAAGTACCCAACTGATCACTGACCTAATCCTCTTCGATCTCTTCGCGATCGGCTGGTGTCGTCCACGACGACCTCGGCTCCTCTTCGCTTTTTATTCGCACGGAACGGCAGTTAAAGAGCCACGGGGGGAAGAATGCCGACAGCGTGTTCGCTCGTAACGGTTGGGCGTGGTAACGTCACGAAAGCTTCGTCGGCACGGCATGGCTAATTAATCAAGCTTTTATGGTCGCCCAGTTAAATTCTCAACCGCCATCCTGTTTGCCGCTGTTTCTTCTCCCTTTTTCCTTCTCCTCCTCTCCCCTCTCTCTTTCTCACTATTTCTTTCTCTCTCGCTATCTACTTTCCTCTTCTCTCTTTCCCCGTTTCACTCCTTTGGCTCTCCGCCGGCTCATCTCGCTCCCGGACGCACGCTTGACCTCTCACGGACCATCGGGGCGAGGAGGACGGAGAGAACACGGCCGTTTACCTTTGTACCATTCGTTGGGCCGCTCGCGCGCGATCCGGCAAGCGCATAAATTATTCATGCCGCGATTAATGCGGTTAAATGTTTAGGTACTCCGTTATTCTTTCACTTTAGCACGTCGCGCCTCCGTGGGCGCGAAGCGGGGATTACCACGGGCCGCCGCCTCGCGCAAACAAATTTTCGCGAGGAACCGTCCCAACACGGCACACCCGCCGACGCAGCGACGTCCTTAATTGGTGCTAATTAGGCGGTTGTACGTTAAACGCACGGACGTCGGGGTTGCGCTTTCTACCGCGCGCACGCGAAGAGGAATGTCGCGCGCTACGTTTTCAATGTGCACGCACGAAGAGATCTGCGTTAATTGCTTAGATACATTTTCGTGAGACTATAGGGGAATATAGTGCATGGCCTTCTCTATTATTTTCTTCCTGTATGCGATAATGAGATATAAACTTTTCTTTTCTCGACGATATAATATATCATAGTAGTATTAAATTATCATGCACGAGACGTTTTTATAATTTGCTCTATTAAACGGTTTATCTTTTTTTTAAGGTCGATCACATTTATGTAGGCATGTTATTTATAAGTTAATGAAGAATGATTTATTTTATATAGACCAACGGTAGATATATATATATATACATATATATATATATATATATATA